CAGATTTTCTAAATACTTTTTTCCTGACTCATTTACCTAGCGAATAGCTAGGATTTTCATCTTCCAGTGGAGTTTAGTCTCTACTCACTTCTGCTAGGATATATAGGTTAGCCTTCTCTTGACCCAAAATTAGTCTTCTTAACCTGTCAGAAGGAGACAATGTATTGGTGCGTTTAAACCTAGCGTTCTGCTTAAAAGCACTGATGCAGCTTATGTCTGTTGTTCAAAATGTTTTTCTTAGTACTAAGCTTCCCTTCATCACTTCTAAAAGGGCTATTGAACATGAGCATAGTTTTTAGAGTGATGTTGTTCAACATTTAAAATAAAATATTAGGACAGATACATTTTTGAGCAGCAATTTACGCCTTAATAAAACACAGTGATATTGAAGTTCTGAATAAACTGTAAATAATGGAACCATCTACCGAGAGGGTGATGAAAATATAAAAGTATATCAAGGTTTGGTAGCTTTTGGATCAATAGATAATTTTTCCACCTGTCTCCTGGAGGCTAAATTACTCGATTCATGGCGGTGAGGATGTCTTGGACATGCAACATGTAATATGTTGGGAGACTGAGCTCTCTCAGGTATATTGGTTTATATCTAAAGCAGCAGAGAAGACAGAGGAATGTATGAAAACAGTGGTCCCAAATTTTCTTACACAGCTTGAGGCTATTATTGTTATTATTGGCAAATTGAAACACTGGGTTTCTAATTTATGCAATTTAAAGAAAAAGGATAATAGCTCTCTCTAACATCTCTTATTTAATTGTCACATACATCTGTTTTTGGGCTACAACATTATTTGATAGGTCTGTAGTTGCTGCACTTTTGGTGTGTTTCTTGGCATTCCATCTTCAACAGGTTTCTGTTGTCAGCCATCTTCATCTCTCATTGATTTTTATTTTTTTTAAATAACATACTCAAAATAGTGGGTTTGCATCTCACACAGCCGTAAGCCATCTTAACTTTTCAATACAACAATATTCATTACCATGATATCTAAGCCCTCTTTACAATAATAATTTTGGTAGTAACAATTTTATCTGTTTCATGTGCCGAAGTTTAAGCTCTATGATTTCCATATTGGTGATATTTGGAATTTTTCAAAACTAACAACACAGTTGCAGCCTGGAGCATCTTCTTCCAAGGATGACCATGTCTCATCCCAGATGGGCTGTGTCTCTAGGCTGATTGGCCTGGCTGTCCGTGTCTTGATTCTGTGATATTCTCTACGGTTAGAAAAGAGTGTCTTATTCAGTACCTCTCCTGTCCCATGGGGTGGGTAAGGGGAAGGTTTCTTTTGGATATCACAGTAATGTAACGACAATTGCCTCAAGAGGTTTTCCCTCAGGAGGGAGACTGCAGCCTTGGGGTAGAAGTGCAATGGAAGACCAATTCCTGACCTGGGGGGCTCTGCAGACAGCACAGCCCCTGCTCGGGAGCCTGTGGAAATTAGCTCATTCTGGTCAACTGAGAATAAATGAAACAGACAGGAAAAAGCTCTAAGAAAATTAGGATGGGAGTAACACAGATTGAGAGAATAATTTGAAAATATCTTGGGTAAAGCCAGTATGCAAATACTGTTAATCGTCAGTAGAAATCAGAGACCTGATGTATTATCTTATAGCAAAGTTCTCCTTATTACAGCATGAATAGATGTAATTCTGTCCACAGGAACTCTGAATACCAGGATTTTGGCATTAAAGGAATTCTGTGTGTTTCTCCTCCTTCTCCTTTTAACCCAGTCCCAGCAGTAATTTTTGCTTCCTTTTTATCCCATCTCTAAAGTATCTTTCTTGCAGTAGACGATTAAAAGAGAAATGCTATAAGGCTCAATACCAAGCTTTATGTATTTTTCAGTAGCACAGGAAACCACCAAATGCCCTTCTATCCCTTCTAGGAATGAAGGCCAAAAAAATTTATCCCAGAGCAACATTAATATAAGAGTATTTAAGGACTTAAATAGATAAACTTTAATAAACTTATATTTTCAGCGCAGAGCAGATGGTTTTTGACAGACCTGCCTGAAGCTATGTAACATCACATGCCATGCTATTTATTTTTCAATAACGTGATTTACTAAACAAATTTCTCCTTCTTTGAAATCATACAGTGAAGAAGGGGTTCTGTATCCAGATTGAAAGGCAGTAGCCATTTTAGAACAGGTGATGGACACTTAAAATTCCCGGATAAGTAACAAATTTTGCAGAACGTGAGGAGTGTCTCTATGACTTCATCCATATTCAGATGTGGTAATAAAATAGTGCTGCTGAGGGAGCTCAACTGGATCTCTATCCACTTGTTCTGGTAACTTCTTTTCCAGCACAGACTGGTTCATGCCATTTAGCATCTCAGGATGTGTGTAGGCATGATTCGGGCAATTGCACAGAGCAGGGAATTTTTTGGTAAGCAATATAGAACAAGCTTTTCTCTGTTTTGGAAGAAGAAGAAGCTGGCCAGGTGGATATTGACAGTTTGTGTTGTGTGTCCTAAGGGTCACAGAAGGGTTCCCAGTTGTCTTGTGTTTCACAATAGGACGTACCTTAAGGACCACTGTTTATGTAGCTGACAACAAGACTAATAAAGTTACAGGATAAATTTGAAGAGCTGCTTAGGATAGGTTTTAGATGTAGGCTACCATGGTCCTATTCTCGGTGACAGTTTCCTCCTGTGAGCAATAAAAAACATACAGGTTCAGAACCTAAATTACAAACTTTTAAGTCAATCTCAAAATTTCTGCTTTTTTCCAATGACCATTATGGAATGTCAGGAGCCTTTGCTCTTGAACAGTGTGGTTTATCAGATGCCTGGTTTGTTCTGTGTCACTGTATCCTGTAGCTGACTACCCTGGAAGAAGTCCGGAGTTCCTATTCAGGACAAATTTTTTGATCCACTCAATGGGTGCCAAGCGTTAAGTGTTTGACCTTCCGTGTCGGTGGTGAACACGAAATACACCTGCCCTGCGTGAGATCAGTGAAGAATTCTAACTAGTTGTTTTGTTTGAGATCTGTAAAATACCATCCCGGTGTAGCCTTAAGTGTCATGGTGTTTGCTTTTGGATTATTCACATTGCGTTATTATTCACTACAGTATGCACCGTTTAGCAAATTATTCCCTGATTTTATGGGAAAAAGAAAAAAGGTTGTCTTTGCACCAGTAGAAAATGTTTTAAAACACTTTATGTAGTTATGTGTCTTTCTAAGTCAATGCATTAAAGCTTAAACAATGAGAAGGAAGAGAAGAATTTAAACAAAATTACAGAAATTGAATTATTTGACTGGGAAAATAAAGGATCCCAGAATGCTAATGTCACCAAGGATACTTGGTTCAGTTAGTACACAGCACACAGCGGGAGTAATTGAAAAATTTCTTAGGATGTAGCTCTGTAGTCTAAGAGACTAGGAACCTGGCTGAGACTAGCTCATCAGGCGGTCCCCGTTGTACCATTTCAACAGCTAGGAGAGGCTTCCTACTAAACTTATCTGCCCAGGTCTGCCTTGTTTTTATTGTGGAATTTCAGCCTGAAAAACTGTAGATTATGTGCACATATGACAGCTGCTGTCTTGAACAAAATACCAGGGACTGAATTCAGGGTGTCTGAAACGAAAAGCCTGTGCTGAAATTGCTTAGGCTAAAGAGCTGTAGTTCTTTAGCTGGGGGATCAGAAGAACTCAGTCAAAGGATGAGCACAAGAAAAGTGAGATAAAAATATCAGCGGGTTACACAGATGCCTCCTCTTGTATCATAGCAAACACTTTCTCTCTATATTTTCTGATCTCAATTCATATGATTAACTCCAGAATTTGTAATGGATTCTTTTTCAAAACCTAAGAGGTAAATTTATGTTTTATATTAAATTCTGGTGGCACTTGGTATTTTTGTATTTGAATCTCTAAATAAAAAAAAGGGGATGGGTTTTACAGATATCTAAATGATCATAAATGCATTGGCCTCATATCATAATTAGAATTACAGACAATAATACAAAGCAGGCGTTCCCTCGAATGAATGCTTAAAGCAGAAGACTGGAAGACAGGCCACTTGCCAATGTGGCCATGTAGAGCTGATAACAGCGCAGTGCGTTGGCAAGATCATTACTGAAAGCGTATGTTTAATCCCCATCCCACCCCAATAGTTCCCAGAAATGTATGCTATTAGGCTCAGCTGGAAATAGAAAATTGCTCTTAATCATGTACAAGGAACAATTCTAAATAGGAGCATTTGAAAACAGCATTGAAAAATGCCAGAAGGAATGGAAGATCGTTTTGGTTCTTGATGAAAAGCTATCAAACATAGTTCAATGTGGCAAGAGATGTGGCAAATTTTTAGAGAAGCAGTTTTCTCTTAAAAGAAAGCTAACACAGCTGGCAAAGTCACTTAATGCTTTTTGTGCCATTGAACCTTAAAAAAAAATTTTTTTTCATTCATTATGAGCCACAAAAAGCTTTTTTCCCCATTTTTAATCTTTGTGAGGATTTTTGCTTTGAGACTTCCTGCAGGAAAGTGTTTTAAGTGGAAGTCTTCTTTACACTGCCCCTAATGTCTGCCAATATGATTCCTGTTACAGGCGTAAGGACCATTTTCCTTCTGCCCTCAAGCTGTGTTGCTGCTTATTATCATGTTTAACATTCCCAGTGCCTGGTAGGATGGAGATAGAAACTCTTAATATTCGTTTTATAGTGAAAGGTCTTGCCAGATTTTTTGGAGCATGGGCTATAATATATGCACATAATTTATTGGTGAAAAAGTTCTGAACTTTCCAGTGAGTCACCTTAATCTTTCTTCTTATCATTTTAGAATTGTTTTAAAATAATCTGCTATGGCCCCCGCACGTAAACATGTTAAAAACGTTACATTGGAAGTAACAACTTGATAAAAGCAAACAAAAAGAGATACATAGATTATTTTTTTTTTATAAATCTGTCCTATTTTTTTTTTTTAAAGTGTATATTTTCTGGAGTGTTTTTCTCTAACTTCAAAATTTTATTTTTAACAGACTGGAAGGAAGGAGAAGGGGGACCCACTCAACATTGCTATTGACAAGATGACCAAGAAAACACGAGACCTTCGAAGACAGGTAATCTGTGCCTTTTATAATGCTGCTTGTTTTTCCAAGGAAGTCATTGCTTTTCAGCTTCAGCCTGGTTTGCCACCTGTAGAGGCATAAAGAATTTGTGTCCTTATTTAGCTATGACTCTACATTATTGACATTAAGCAAAGGATTAATATTTCCTGAGACAAAAAAAAAAAAAAAAAGGGGAGACTGAAACATATTCCAAGTGTAACCCTCGATGGTCTTAATATGTGGGAGGGTAGGCAGATTGGCCAGACCTTCACTGCCTCTGCAGCCCAGCAACCCCAGTCACAAAAACACTGGCATATGTGCTTATATGTATTTATTTGAATATTCTCATTGAAATAACAAGAACCATGAGCAGAATATGAAAAAGTTTGTAAGAGCAGAATATTTTCAAAGAACATTTCTAAGGTAGCATGTTAAATAAACATTTTATGAAGACATGGAGAAGGCTAGTAAATACCAGGTTGGTCAGAGAGGTGGTAGATGCCCCATCCCTGGGAACATTCGAGGTCAGGTTGGATGGGGCTCTGGGCAACCTGATCTACTTGAAGATGTCTCTGTGCATTGCAGGGGTCATTGGACTAGATGACACTTATTGATCCCTTGCAACCCATTCAGTGAATGACTCTAAAGCATAATTTAAGCTGTAAAGGTTGACTTTCTCATATTAATTTTATCATTGCGTTTGGTAATAAGTCTGAAAGATTAATTCAAAAAGCTTGAGATGGAAAAGGGAGATTGGCAAACAAAAGGGGGAAACCCTCTATAGGCTTCTCTTCACACTTTTAGAATTAAGGCAGGAGGGATTGCCTCTTTTGGCTTTTTTTTTTTTAATCTCCTTTTGAGATGATCCTGATTCTGCATTTTCTGTAAAAAAAAAAAAAAAAAAAAAAAAAAATTTACCTGGCCAGTCAAAGGTCGCCTCTGTGAAAATGATCCAAAATCCACAAGTCTGCATCACCAAGTGAGGACTTAAATGTATCTTCAGATACCTATCTGCAATATGATAGTTTCAGAAAGAGTGGCCCCTGTAGGCATGCCGAAATCAGTGCTCTGCACTGCTAAAATTCAGCTCATTTCATCGCTTCCTTGGCTCTCAGCGAACGTGTTTGAGGGTCATATTCTAAGAGCTGATTTCTCTGAATAATAAAAATATTGCAGTGGACTTACAGATAATATGAATCATTGACTCTCCTGTATAAAGCCTAACGTCACATCTGTTGCTTGGCTAATGCCAGAAGAAAGATCTCCGCTGTTCTGACCTCCAAATTTGTGGGATCCTGGGTTCTGCAGTGGAGCTTTTACCATGTGTTGCCTCCCACCTCTGTTCTCATTGCTTGAAGGAAGTAGCAGGCTAACACATGAGCTGCTGTTCTGTGTGAGGCTCTCAGCAGTTGCCTGAATTACTTATCTCTCAAGCCAAATTTACTCTGAAACGTGATATAAAAATGGCACCTTTCTTAATAAGCTGTCTGCTTCTCGTATATATTCAGCCCCACGGGTGTTGAATTCAATCTCAGAAAGGTTGAAACTCTGTATGTGGGTAAAGTGAAGCACATATATAAATATTTTCCTGCTTGGAGATGAAGCTTTTAATCTAGTTTCTCATATTTGTGAAAATTAATCACATAGGTATAATTTTTATTAAATGTTGGCAGTTGCTAGGAAACTAATCACAATTAGATCATAATCGTGCCAGGTTTTGCACAAGAGTAAAGAAAGATGGAGTCTTTACTTTCAACATTGTGTGTTCTGGCTATAAATTATTATCCCTTAGAATCATAATCAATGTTCTGCTTCATCACATGTACAATCAACAGTATACATGTGCGTGTCTACCCAGACCTGCCTCTACACCCCCTGCTAAATTCAGAATGTGAGGATATCACGGAGGGCTTGGTTTAATGGCTGGGGAGAGGGGCTTGAAGATTACAAAGAAAATGAACCACAGTTGAGATTGCAGTGTTGTACTATTTCAGTCCTTCTACTTTGGGCTAAATCATGGGAGAGACAACCAACTTTGAATACCATAATGCTTTTTTTTCTTTCTTTCTTTTTTTTAATGAATCTCTTTCAAAGCAGCCTGGCTTGTCAGATTTATGAAGCTTAATGTTATCACTGGAAAAGTGGAGAATCTACAAAATATGTTTTGGTAATGAAGAAAGTATATATATTTCATTTGCTAGGCAGACTCTCTTGCAAGATTTCAGCAGTCAACCATCAAAGAGTGATTTTTCTTTCTCTCCCCAGGTTACTTATCCCTTTATTTCTGAGCTTTTATTTGATTATCTACAGAACACGCAGACATGTGAAATGATTGTGGTTGGGATACACTGTGCTAAAATTCCATCTCACAATTTACAGTCACATCAATATTACCTATTCTGATGGAATTACATCTTTTATACTCATCACTTAAACTCTCCTGGGCACTGGAAAACTAGTAAGAACATCAAGCTAAGTCAGACTGAAAAAGTTCTTGGAAGCAGACAAGTCTCATCAGCTCACAGCTTACTGCTGCCATTTCTGACTTTATTTCGAACAATTTGGAAAAAGCAGAGAGTTCTGTGTCTGATAACAATCTGTGCCAACTGGCAAGATTAGGGGTCTTTTTTCCCCCTGCTACACAAGTCTCTTGTAAAAATAAAAAAAAAAATCTAAAAGCTAAACAAAAGCATCTTTCACTGTGTGGTGCAGCAAGCTAGACCAGCAGCAGGGTGCTTGTTGATGCCAGTTATTTTATTTTTTTTTTCATTTTACATCCATAGGGGAAAAAAAATACTAACCCTATAGTTTAAATACTCCAGCTAATCATAGAGCAGCACGCACACAGAGTATTTCAAGCGTTGCCACTCTGCAGTGACATTGAAATGAAGCTAAGCAAGAAGGACACACCAAAGAGTTTGGCTAACGCACCAACGGGATGCCTAGCAAGTGCCAACCCGGACTATAGATCATTTGATGTTGTAAGAGCGGGGCACCGCTGTTCTACTGTCACCACCACTGGTGTCCCACCTGTTGGTGCCACTGCCTCCTGCCCTGCTGCCATCGTCTCTTTGCTCGATGTCCCATTCCAGTTGATCGGCTGATGTTCAGTCTATGTTAGCCAGTCGGTTTCCCCACAAGGTATAATAACCAAACTTTTCTCTTAAAGAGCAGATATCTGTACTGCTATTAATTTTAACAGAGCAACCTGTCTGTAGTATTCTATACAGTAGATTGACATAAAATAATTCTTCATTTTTCTCCATTCAAGCCAGACTAATACTTTGTATGCCTCCAAAGCGATTCTCAGTTTATACTGGAAATGATGCTCTTATATAAGCTGTTAAAAACAATTCATCCACCTCCTGCAGACTCAGGTTTATGTCATTACTAAAGCTAGTTAGAAATATTTTATAAAATACTGAACAGAAAATTTTCACTTTCTTTAAAGCTGAATAACTTCAGAAATTATTCAGAAATTTAATTTTGAAAATGAAAAAAAAAAAGACTGACAGTGTTGAAAAATTTGGATTTTTTTCAGTAGTTTCAAATTTTCATTTTGAAAGTTAGTTTATTTTAGCTTATAATTATATATATAAATAAATATTGAAAATTAAAACCACATTTTTAGTATTGTCAGTGAAGTTTTCCATTATTTTAAGGAATGTTTTGAACATTTGAAATTGTTCAGGTTTCAAACCAAAGCAGAATAAAGCAAAAACTAAAAAGTGCTATCTTTTTCTTAAAGTTGGATTTCTGGTTCTCCTTGCAATTTTAGGCAACAAACCTTTATTATAAAATATATTAATAGGAACTGTGAGGTGGAAAGTCCAGAAAAAAACACATTACCAGTTGCATTTTGAAGAATACATTTGGTAGTTTGAAAGTTTAGACTGATGTCCTGGGCTTTTTTTTAACAGAGTGTATGTCTAGTAGAAATCAATTCTATTGCTAGATATCTAAGTCTATGTGTTTAATCTAACTCTACCCTCTTTTGGCTTAAAACCGTTCCCCCTCGTCCTGTCCCTGCACCCCCTGACCCAGAGCCCCCCCATCTCTCCTGTAGCCCCCTTTCAGCACTGGGAGGTGCTGGAAGGTCTCCCCGGAGCCTTCTCTTCTCCAGGCTGAACAATACCTGTGCTTGTTCTCATGATCTCTTGATTTTCATATTTCTTCTCAGTTTTTCCCATCCATCTTTCTCCTCTTTGTTACTAGCTCTTCTGCTGTAACTCACTGTTCCTCCAGGCTGGTCGGTGCAATGCAGGAAGATGCGTGGCTGGTTTTGGCACCTGCTCTGCCAACTGGCCAGCTGGTACCCACATGGTTGTCGGCCAGCTGGTACCCATGCTGGTACACTGGCCAGCCCACTACTGAGTTCACATTACAAATTTCCCTCTGTCGGACTCTAATTCGTGTCACTGTTCTCCTACTCAGACAAATTTTCATCAAATTCTGGCTATTTAGCATCCTCAAGACCTTCTCTCCCTGTCAGATGGTTTTAAAATTGGCCAACAGATTAAAATGTATTCGAAAAAATAGACAGAGTAGCTTGTTTTCCCATATGATTTTTCCAGGAATGGGTTTTACGTGTGGCTGTGGTTTGTCCTTTAGAAGTAGGTTATTTGATCTCAGCTACCATTTTGTCTGAAAGCTGAAAGATGGGCACTTCCACGATTTCTGTATTGGTTTGGATTTGATGTTTCCCCCTTTCTTATGAATATTGGTGGAGGTTGATTGCTTCTTCCCAGTGTCTATTTTTTCTCAATAGCCACTAGTAGCACCCTAGGAATGGTGACACACTTTTGGGTACTCAGGTTTATCCATTTAGGCATAAATTAATACCAGTAATGCCGTGGTGTGGTGTCTTTCTGACAGCCATATACCTGGACTTGTTCTGTCACATCCTTTACAGCAGCCTAAATTATTAAAAAAAAATATAAAAAATCCAAGTCATATTTGCCCTTTCTATACCTCCAATCAATTCTTTATGTATCATGTAGTTAGTACATCCT